GTAAGGAAAAATAAATAGACGTAGTAAATGCTTTTAAAATTTTTGCAGATGTTTTCCAAAAAAAAAAAAAAAAACAAAAATTGAAGTTAAGGATAAAATATTTTTGGTTGTTTATCGTAATTTATAGCTGTATGACAGACAGTAAGTTATTCAACTAATATTAATCGAATAAATTTTTGGTCAAAAGATTGAATAAAAATTGACAAACAGAAATGGTAAAAAATAAAGCAAAAAATTGATTCTGAAAATCTGAATTTATAAACTTGAAAATTTTTTTGTGATCGGATATCAGATGGCAATAGCCAATATTCAAAATCTCACTTTCACTGATTCACCGTTTACAGACAAATATTAACCTTTCAATTAGTTGTTCATCGTTATTTATAACCCTCGTTTTCCTCTCTCTCTCTCTCTCTCCCATTTTTTCTTTTGTTTATTATAAAAAAATTCAAAAAAAAAATATTTTTTTTTGTTTATTAGTGACTAAAATATCTGTTTAAAAAAATGTTTTGTTTTTGATTAACAGAAGAAAGAAAACAGGGTAAAATAAAATGACTAAATTGAGACAGACTATCAAATTTGCCAAATGATTTCACTGCAGTCATTTTTTTTTTTTCCTTTTTACTGCTTTTGGCTTTGTAAGAAAAAAACTGTTCAAAGCAATGCTAAATTTGCGCAAAATCAGAACTTTGTTGTTGAAAAGGAAAAGGTAAGAAAAAGATAAGGAAAGAAAAGAAAAGGAATGAAATAATTATAGTTTGATGGTTAAGCTGTTAATTTGCAAATACCAATTCCAATGAACAGCAACAACTTTTTCCTCATTCCAAATCTCGTTTTTTCCTTCTTTTTAATCTATTTTTTCGATTAAAAAAATCGTAATTTACATAGTATGTCAGATTTGCTAAACAACAATAACAACAACAATTAATCAGTTTTTTGTCTTCAAACTGTTAATTTTCAAAGTTTTTGTTTGAATAGAAAAGAACAAAGCTGAAACTTTTCTAAAAATTAAGGATTCCCTTTTGTTTTCTGTTTTTTTTGGTTTTTTTTTGGTTTTTTTCTAGACTAACCCTCTTTTAAAATATACCGCTGATTTGATTCAACGATAAAAAAGTTGAATTTATCACAGCTTCGTTTTTTTTGTTTTGTTTTTAAAAAAAGTAATAAAGAAAAAAAAAATTTTTTTTTTTTGTTCTATTTACAATCTTTTTATTTTTTTGAATTATATAACATTGTGGATTCTTCCAGAAAAAAAAAAAACAACAAAAAATTTGATAATATCAATTAATTACATAGCCTATTTTTTTTTTCAGTTTTTAGTAGTAAAAAAAAAAAGCAACAACAACAAAAAAAAAATTTGCTTA